AATACTATCATAAATATTTTGTTCGATAGTAAAAAATTTTTGAACTGTTTGCAATAACAAGTAAATCTTTTACGCTCTTGGAGCATGCATGTGAGTGCGTAAACAAAAAACGTTTATTTTGAAAAATACATAAATTTATATGGAAAAATCGTTTCCTTCGAAAGCCAATTGAACCGTAGCTTTACAAATACAAAAAACCACACAAAAGATGAATCAACAAATTATGGACTAATCTATTTTTTTATTTGTTTTTAATTAGGTACAAAAACTGCACTGGAGGTCACGAAACAGTTGCAAAACTACTGATACAAAAAAATAAAAACAAGATTAATCACCAAGACAACAATAATATAAAGAATGTGAATGCGGAATAGATCGGAGTGACAGGAAGAAAAAAAAGACTAATACGAAAAACAATAAAGCCATTTAATAAAGAGATTTTGCTTAACGTTTCCGCTATTTTAATATTGTCGTTATATTTAACGGGTTTCCAATCAGACTAACGCAATTTGAAGACTTTTACATAACGTATTTTGCCGCTAACGCTAAGTTTCCTGAAGAGTTGGTTTTAGTTCATGGTATGGTCGTTTCTTGCAAACAAAGACACCGTTCACGGATGTCATAGATTTTACATTGATTGCTGTCGATAGTATGGCATGTGAAAACATGATAATTTTTGAAGCTCATTAATTACTGGGGCATTCGGGGCAAGTTCAGTTTAAATGAAATTGAGGACGAAAAGTGTCAAAAAAAATTTTAATGCTTTTTGTTTAGCATAGTAATTTTAGGAAAGACTAAATATTATAGTGATTATTATAGTATATAGAACCATATACATACGGGTATAAAATAACCACATTCTGTACCTGCCTCATAAAATTTTAGCTTTTAAATTATATTTAGGCGGTTCAGCCAAAGGGTCTGTTTTACACAATTGTTATGGTCTATTTGATGTTGATAATATTTATTGAAAGAAATATGAATAAGGCTGCTGTATTTCTAGTTAACTGTCATTCCTGCTGGTATGTAAATAAAACAGCTAAAGATTTGAAAGTTGAAACAGCAAAATACATTCTTAGGAGTCGGGACTCAAGAAACTACTACTGCAACGGAACTAATTGGAAAATGCTAACTATAAAATAAACAATTGGTGTATATATATATATATTTAATTAGTCAAAATCTCCAAGGAAAAACTACTTTGTTGATTTTACCGTCAACCGTAACAAGCACGCTATCCTAATGGCCCCTTCACTCTGACCCAAAGAGTAGATGGCCTTCAATAGCCATTTTGGCTGAGGTTGGCAATCATGTTGGGAAACATGGTTTTGGGAGCGATCTCACTAAACACATCAAAGGAGGACAACATGGGCGAACAAAATGCGATGAGATAGGTGACATGCCACACACTGGGCTAACATTGGTCGGCCATGGTTTTTTTTTGGTTCCAACCAAGTTTCCCCCAATAAATGTAAAAGCAATTATACACCCTAGCCAAATACAAAGCTGCATCAGCGATTTCCTCGACATTGAGGCCATGCTGACCCAATCCTGGGCCAAGGTTGGACCATCTACTGGCCCAGTGTTTGAAGCCCAGCTGTTAGACAACTAACGTACGCTATTTCAGATAGCGTTCCGTTAAATTTGCGGATGCCTACTTCAATCAATATAGAGTTACCATTCATACAAAATCTCCCTTTTATTACTTAGTATAGCAAAAAATAGAATTTAAAAAAATATTATTCTCGATCGTTTTTATTGAATAAGCACAAAAACCTTCATCTGCAACAAAACACTACTTTGTTTATTTTACCGTCACCCGTTAACAAGCACGCCATTCCAAGACAGTTAAATCTGCGCATGCGCACTTCAATCAATTTAGCGTTATCGTCTACGCTAACGTTACGCAAAATCGCCCTAATGTAAAATAAAATTAAGGGGCTCAAAAAAACCCACCCCGAATCTTTAACAATCAAGCTTGAAATTGCTACATGACACAAAAAGGACAAAAAATTCATTGAGAACCCTCAGAGGGCCGGTGTTTTTGAAAAAAAAGCCAGTATGTCGCTGAATTCGAACCCGGGACCTTCACCTTACAATGACTAGCGCCGTGTCAACGTCTAAACCGTTGCGACCACTGACGCCCCCAAATTGACCTATTTCAAATCTCGGAAATATACGAAACAACATATGCAGCAGGAAGAACCGACAGACAAACGCCGATACACACCTTCCTTACAACAATCGCACAAACACTCGAACATGGCGAGAGCCGAAACGCGTCTGACAGACCAAAATTATCAGAATCAAATTATAAATCCGCTGAATTGAATTTATACCAACGTTTTATGAATAGATGATTTGCTTCGAAAGGAGGCGAAAAATTACCCAAGGATTTAAACCGGCTCCCGGTAAGAACTAAATTGTGTTAAATTGAATTGAATCGATTTTCCGAGAAGATTAAATCCTTGCGGCCAGGTGAAAAGATTTACTTGTTGTTGTTTTTGCCTTTAATTTGCAAAAAGGCAGGTACGAGATTTAGCCTCCTGGCCTCAAATCGGCTTATATCAAGAGGAAAAAGGTGATGAATCAAATCACTGTTTATAGAGAACAAAAAAAAGCAGAGAGGGTCTAAACGTTTTAGGAGAGCACGCAAAAACCGGGCACGACATTTCGAAATAAATTCGACCGATTGTCCGACCGCTCGCGATCGACGACGGACTTGATTTTTTACTCGAAAAGTAATTGAAACTTACGTCGAAAACGACGAGATTAGACGGGTGATGAATGGATTTGGCCACGGTCGTACGAGCCCCTCAGAGTCAGGATATAAACGTGCTTCGCTCCGGTTACTTTCACATGGAAATGATTTCATCTGAATTTTAAACAAACATGTTTATATGCAGACCACCTCTCTGAGAATAATTGGCCTGGAACGGAGCAAATTACGAATTAACCTTCTGTTAACTGGAAATCAACAATTCACGATCCTAATAAATATATGTAAACCCTTTTATGGACAAAAAAACACATTAAAGCTTTTAACGTGTGACTTATTTATTGATGAAATCACTCTTCCCCCTCCTCCTAAAAAAATCAATTGAAATATTTAAAAAAAACTACATGTAGCAACAAATTTTTATAATTTAATAAAAACATTAAATATTAATCTTTATACCGGTACCTTTAAAAATTCGAATTGGAGAAGGTAAGCACTTCTATTTTAGCTCGTTAGCTAATACATAAAAAGATCAGTGATTTTTTTGTAAAACTCAAAATTCGTCAACGTTTGATGTTCAGATTTATTTTTAGCTCTGTCGGCTAAAACCCGAGGGTGCTACATTTATCGGCCGTTCTCGCTATGCCTTTATTTCCGTATGCTATAAAGAGACCCCACGTCAATATTTGAGATATGTTTTTCCCGTTACTAGTCGGGAAATGTTTTCCTCAAATATTGCCAAACGCTAATACGTTATGCTAAACAATGTTTTTCTAGCATCGATATGCAAAACGTTGGAGTAATGAAAAAGTATCTCGACTAAACCGTGAATAATTTTTGAGCAAGCAAATTAGATAAATCGATCCGAGACGTTGTTTTAAAAAATCAGAAAGATTTTGATTCAAACTTTCCACCCCAAGGCCAAACTTGAGTCTGTTTCCAGTCGTGGATCGGTTATACGTACGTAAGAGGAACATAAATCCATGTTATGTGCATAACAGGAAAAAAAACAATAAATGTAAAAGCATACATTTAACAAAGTTCATTTAGATTTTACATTATGTACCTTATTCCTATGTAAACCATACAAGCATTGTTTACTTTTACATTCCATTAACTTTTATTATGCAGGTACAGTTTTCATTATATACATTTTAAAATTTTTTCGTACATATATTCTGTGCTTATTTCTTCTAAAATTTTTAATATCTAATACATACGTATGTACGAATAGAATATGAATCTGTAGTTTATGCGCAGTTTGTTTTATCAATTCAATAATCTACCTATTTATAAAAAGTTTAACTAAAAGTTTCATTAAACCATTTGCATACTAAAAACTAAATAAAAAAAAGAGTTACCGTATCCAAAAACGTTAAAGGTATACAATAAATATCGCTCTGCTTATAACATAGGCGGGCTAATCATAATAACAATAGTATATAACATATTGTAAACATGTAATAGTAATAAAAAGAATGGTCAAACCAGAGTAACTTGTTTTATTGCTGAGTTATGTCAAAAAATTATTGACTAATTTTTTTTTAATTTAAACTAAATTATAAATTTAATAGCTATAATGTAAACATAAAATGTTGGCAATAAAACTATGTTCTTCTGGTTCACTGTACTTTTTATCTATCTTTTTCACCTATTTGTAATACCTAAAGATTAGTAATTTCCGACTACTGATTTGAAGGAAAATGTCTTGGTGCTTTATTGTTTGACTTCGAAAGCCGTAAATCGGCAGTTATTACAAACTGTGTGAATACTGTGTGCAGCTTGTCATTTACCGATAAATTTAACCAGCTAAAACTTTTTTATTACATCACCACCCTTCCAATTTTGCCGAACAGTCCACGTTGGAACGGCTTGCAAGAGCAAAAGTTGGAACGGTTTCTGAAAACAGAAATTGATGAAGGGCTTTAGAACATAGCCTAGGTTGTTGTGGTTTGTTTCGCATGATTTTTTCACATCTCTGTTTGTGTTTTGCATGGTGCATGTTTTACGATATCCTCAATTGTCGTGAGCTCGTTTGTAACAAGAGTTAAACGGGAAGATATTGGCTTCACGGCTAATTAATTAGCTATAAACACGAAACTCGGTAATTGCACAGCAACGTGGTAGACACCGGGAAGCATAAATCTCACGTTTAACGCTACAACGACACGCCACGTGCGTCGTCGACGATTTACGACCACCTCGAACGACGTCCCGGGGCCGACCGAGCTCCCGGTCTCTGCTCACTAAATATTTGTCTAGTAATTTTTTGGGTTCGCAGGACGATGACTGCAATATGTTTCGTCTGCAATTTGCCGATCCTGAGCCACCAGGTCGGTCTGGTCTGGCAGGGAGGCAACGGATGGGACGACCTCGTCAGGGAACAGCTGGAAGAGTCCACCCTTCGGCAAAGGTAAAAACATCCATTCAACCATTTTTTGTAATAAATATATTTGTAATATAATATAAATCAAATATTATTAGAAACAATAGCCTAATCTAAGTGTCTTGGATCATAGTACCCGAAATAATACTGAGGAGAAAAGAGTGTTCGTAACCTCGACGTCAACCCATCATTCACGCAAATAAATACATGCATATATGTAGTGTCTTAACTAGATGTACTGTACAAACATATACACACATCCTTCTTACATAAATTGACCGACTATCATTCAAAAAACTTCTGCCTATATTCAAGAGACTACATTGGATGCGCTTACAGATTCCAACATCTAACAGAACAGTTTCAATTAATACCAACAACCCGACGTTGTTGCTCATAATTAAGAAGCTACCCAAATGGCACATAACATCAGGAAAGAGGTATGAGATCTCGAGGGCGTAGGCTGGGCAATCTCATTTACACGGGTCAAAACACACATGCCTAGGAAATGAGGAAGAAGACCTGACAGCAAAAGCGGCTGCATTGACACAAGCTTTACTAGGGTTCCAAGAACTTACGTACGAGGAAATGTAAGGAAAAGACCCAAAATGGCAAATACGCGAAATTATTTTTCTCTACTATACGATCATGAATCCGCTCCGGTTTCGAAAGTACTGCACAGTCGACACAGACATTAAGCGGGCATGGCAACAGCCGTCAACGATCCTTCTTGCCCATGCGATGCTTCAATTCAAGACTGGAGGCATCTGATGTATCACTGCTCAATTTTCATTAGGATAAGGGTGAAGATGGAACATTTTGCTTCAAGAAGGTTAGGAATTAACCTGTACAAATGGTGGATGTTCTATTAGTTGAAAGTATTCTCGTCACTTTCAAAGTTTTATTAACAGCACTTTGATTTGTCCTGAATAAGGAGTGTTAAATATATCTAGATAAACGACTAAAAAATGATTTGTTATTAAATATTAACACTTTAATGCGAAGATATAACCTCAGTATAGAGTTACTGCACTGAGCAAAACATAAACTCAACATGTTAATCTAGACTACCTAATGAAGTTGAGGTTATCGACCTGCAGAAAATGGTGTTAACAGCTGGATCTTCGAGAGGTCAAATGACGGCTGAAATAAAAGAACAAGGAACAGCCTCCGGGTTCAGCCGAGTTTTCGGCGACTCATATCACCATCCTCAGGGCCTAGATTTATTACAAACAATACATAAAAAATTTTCACAAAACAATACAATTGTGAAAAGATAAACATAAATTTACAAAATTACATTATATATATATATATATATACACATATATCCAAAAATCCAAGAACAAAACGAACGATCCAACTACTTAAGCTTGCATTACTCCTTTATATAAAACTTTAATCATCTTTAACATTAAAAATTAAACCCGAAAATAACGATTAAAACATTAAAGGCTTAAATTATGTACATGGGATTAACCCCCCCCCCCAAACTAGACTACTTACTACATTATATTCACTAATTTTGTGGTCCACTTGACCAATTAATATATTACAATTAATTAAGGTTTTTAGTTGAGATAAAAAGTCAATGGCACGAGCGGGATTCGAACCCACGATCTTCGGCTTGATACGCCGCTGCTCTACCACTTGAGCTATCGTGACCTCGATCCACTCNTATATATATATTGGGTACAGAAATGTCTTAAAAAAGGTAAAATTTATAATTAGTAAAAAGACTCAATCTAAACGAACATTTTTCGTATGATGAATGGTTAACAAATATAAAATCTATGTTGGTAGTAGCTCTTATTAGCCCCACTTACTATTTAACAGTAAAAAATAGACAAATATATTTGTCCAATTGACACCATAGAAATACATACATAAGATTCTCTACTCGTACGACGAAGGTGCTTCTACACCTCAAATGCAGCAAAGTTCGCATGAACCATGATTCGATTCTCAACCCTTTCGCAAATATTCAACATTTCATGTTGTCGTTTTTTTTTTCAACTATCTACTTTTTTCGACATGAATCTACTCGTAGCTCATGAAGAATTCATTTTTGTAGATATTCAAAAAAAGCATTGAAAAGACCGTTAAATTTGTTTTAACAAGATCTAGAACGGTCTAGAATCACCGGTCAATTTGAAAAAATTTTATAACAATTTCTTCCTATAATAAGACTCCAGTGGTATACCCTTTCTTTAATTACATCGAGCCAAAATGGAGAAATTTTATGCTAAATGGGAAAAAAGTGGTGACGGAGTGAAAAGAGGGAATGGGATTAATCTCGTAAACTTTTTACCCTGGGCAAAATTTATTTTACAACTTTAACTTAATAAGAAAGCACAAAAAGAAAGAAAAATTCACTTAAAAACCAAAGCAAACGCATAACAAAGAAACGTGTAAAAACGTTGAATTTTTCTTTTGTTGTGTCTTTTTATTTGATCAAAGTTGGTTTTACAACTTCTGTATTGTTATCATTTCCTTCATCTGTGTTTAGTTAGATAGTTTGTCCAGTTTTTCTACTTTGGCTGTTAGCTTTGTGTATTGTCACTTTTGTGTTTTGCTTCATTTTTTTCTTTGTGTGAATTTTAAATTAAAGTTGGGAAATAATTTTTTCACAAGACAAAAAGTTGAATTATACTACACCCTCTTTTTCACACCGTCACCACTATCTCATTAAGCATAAAATGTCTGCATTTTGGTTCTACGTAATTAAAGAAAATGGTATACCGCTAGAAAATATTAAACTAAGAAGTTGTTTTGAAATTGGCCAAGCTCTACCATGAATTTGTCCAATGAAGTTGCCAATTAAGTATTTTTTACTAATTTTAAATTTAGCATTTTTGACAAATTTAGGCTTTGTTTTTGATGAAAAATCAAATTTAAAGTTCTACATGGGTGTCTTCTAAAAGGAAATTTAACGTTCTTTTCAATTTATTTAAGGTATTCTTAGCTGTGATGTTAGGATAAACAAGTTGGTGTCCGGGTGGATCCAAGTCACGATAGCTCAAGTGGCTAGAGCAGTAGCGTATTAAGCCGAAGGTCGTGGGTTCGAATCCCGCTCGAGACACTAACTTTCTCATTTCAACCAATACCTTACATAAAGATTAATTAGTTGAAAGAAGTTATTTGGTCAGTCGGACCACGAAATATAATGGGAAAAAAAATATTTTTTTAATTTCCCAAAAATGAATAGTCCAAGAATTAAGAGCAGATTTATGACGAAAACCGCAGATAGTTGAGTATCTGGAAAAGGGTTGAAAATTGGACAATGTGGTCATTCTAAGAACTTTTTTCTTGAATTTGAGTTTTAGAAATACCTAACGAAATTTTTCGTACAGCAACGAATCATCCTGTACTCACTCCAGTTAAATATATTCAAACTTTTTCCACCAAAATTTATATTTTTAATTTAATAACTCTTCAAAAAAGCTCGTTCAATCATCGTTTTTTTATTAATCTACTTGTCTGATTTATAAATAAAACATACTTAGCAAGATTAACTGCATTTCAGTTCGATTAAATTTTTAAATTTCATCCCACTATTTGATTTATATATAGCATAAAAAAAAAATTATTATAGAGCTTTTCAGTAGATTACTTCATGAAAGATACCATTAATACGTGCACAATCAATGATTGTCAATTTGCAAAAATGGATAACCCAATTGAATTTTTTTCAGACCAAAATGGAAATCTGTGAAAAAAATAGGTCGACTGTTATCATTTTTTCTCTCATTGTGGTTTCGTTTCTTGATAACATTTATTAACCAATTTGAAAACTCTTGTTTATTAATCGCACTTCTTTTGTTACTCGACAACAGGGCCTCGTGTTTCTATTGTGTTTAATGCCCTATCTCATCCAGGACGACGGGCTGTCTTTCTCAGAGCGATTTAAATTATTTACAACGCGCGTAGTACAAAGAGGTGGTTGTTTAGTCCGTAGATTAATCCGCCCGGATAATCCGGCCGTTGCAAAAATCCTCCTTGCCTAAATATATAATATGTTGAAGCTTATCGGAAGTCGGTTGTGCGGCAAAAGACAGTAAAAGCTTTATTAACATCCAATGATGGCTCTACTGTTTTACCTTTCGATTCACTTTTCGGCAGTTTGAAGATATTCTTCCCAAGGTTTTCCTCCTCTTTTATTATTGCAAAAAAAAAGAATACGCTGAATAAACCCGCTCTGACAAACAGGCGTACAAAAATAATTGTTCTTTCTTGATAAATCGAAAGTGAAAGATAAAATTGCTTTTATCTCAAATTTGACGTAAATTAAAATACGACTATTTGACGTGGAAAAAGGAAATTATCAAGGCTTGAGATTAGAGGAAAAGAGTTTTTCGTAGCGTGAGTGAAACCGGATAAGAGATGCGGCGACAAAGGCATTAAGAGTCACTTTAGTTGAAAACCGCATTAACTTAATAGGGTGCTTTAAGAAAGAAAAAAAGCAATTTTTGAAGATAAACTTATGGCTTCCACATCTTGGATTTTATGAAAGAAGGATAAACTCGTTTGTACAGCACACGTGTATTTTGTTCTTTGAGCTAACGTTTTGCGTCAAAATCTTAAATCGTCATTTAAACCGTAAAAAAAATTTAAAAACTTTTTATTTAATCAAATAAATACGCTGTGATAAAGATATGTTTCAGTTATACCACATTTAGATCATGGTGATTTTCGCACATCATTCTCACCATATAAACTATTAAAACAAATTCACTAGTTTTCGTGGTCCGCTTGACCAATTAATATCTTTCAATTAATTAAGGTTTTTAGTTGAGAGAAAAAAGCCAGTTTCACGAGCGGGAAAAACATTTGAAAACTAGCAAAAAGGAGGGAAAATTCCAAAGGTGGGGTTGAGATTGGAAGTTAGTGTCCGAGTGGATCGAGGTCACGATAGCTCAAGGGGTAGAGCAGCGGCTTATCTAGTCGAAGATCGTGGGTTCGAATCCCGCTCGTGGCACTGACTTTTTTATCTCAACTAAAAACCTTAATTAATTTAAAGATA